GTCTGATGAAGCAAAATCCTGGCTTCTTCGTTCATCAATCCCACATCCCAAAGTGCTGGGGCTTATGGTGTAGTGGTATGATGCTGTTTTCATCATTTAATGAAGTAGTTGGAGACTGAAGATGTCTATTTTGCCAGACTTTGGTTGGAGGTGGCTAACAAGGTTGGTGGAGCACCAGAGCCAATTTCTAGAGACAAATCGGTCATATCATCAGAGAAAGTTACTGATTCCAACTTGTAAATTTATGTATTTACAGTAGTATTATAGAAACAGCCAAATATGCAAAGTATACAATACAATGGGCACCATGTGATTTTTTTAAAAAAAATGACTATTAATAAAATGAATTTCTGAAGTGCAAGGCCAGGATAATCCTCACATGCTATAAAGTAGCACTTTCAAAAAGGCCAGCCATGATAAATTCCCTCCCACCAATGACTTGGGTACATGTTATCATAAAATAATACAGTTTTATAGCATATATTATGACTGGGAAAGTGTTTTTTGAAATGTCTTCTGGAACTGCAGAAGTCAGAAAAAATAGGTCCCTGACTCATACTGTTCAGAAGCCTTTGGATTTCATTTCTTATGACCAAACGTTTTGCTATTGGCTGCTGTAGGGATCATAGCTAACCTTGTAGGTTTCCTGAGTCAAACTTGGTTGAACTGTGCTGGGTGATGTAATGAAGAAGCATCATGTGTTCTGAAAGGGCAATTCCTACTATGGCTTAATGGTTGTTTTGGCTCTTGAGTGAGGGTTAATCCTATCACTCTGGAGCTGAAGGCCTTTTGTTTTGTAGTAAGATGGCCCATTCTTTCTGGAGCTATTAACAAAGATGGGGCTGCTTTCCAAGAACATGTTTCTCCTTTTCTCATCCAGGGAGGTATAATATTTAATATTTCCTAGAATATTTCATTCTTCTGGAAAAAGGGTGGGTGCTAACTTTCTACAATACTAATAGGGTCTTACTTCTTCATTATGCTTATTATCTCAATCCACGAAGTTATTCTTATCCTAGTTAGTCTTTCAAGAAGTGGTTTGATAGGTGGTTTATCTTGCCCATAGTAAAGTGCGGAAGATCAGGATCAGAAGTGCAGGATCAGACCAATATACTGAATATTGCTACCTAAACTGGAGCAGATAATAACACCTCCAGTCAAGATACTCTGAGATGGAGAAGGCCACTCTACACTCTCTTCCCTGCCAGGAAAAATACAACCATCTCTCTTCATCACAGCTCCTTCGTGTGAACAGATGAGATGAAATCAGTGGTGGGTTGCAGGCGGTACGCCCCGGTACGGAGCCTGCCCAGAGCATTGGATACTGTTCCAGTACGGTGCTCCAGAGGGCCCACCTGCCCACCCAAGCTCCTTACCGATAAGTTGCTCCACTGAGCATGTGGCACATCACAGAGATTCACGGAGGCGCTAAGATGCATGCGCATGCTGCGCGCGTCCATGTGGACGGCCCATCAGCCCCATCCGCAACCCACCACTGGATAAAATGTGCACCTGGAGTGGGGAGGGGGGAATTCCAGCAACAGCACCATGGTTTACCAAGAGGAAACAGCAGATTTCAAAAAGAAATCAAATTGGATGGGTAGGATGGAAGAGGTTCAGCCTAGAATCCCTCAGGATATGTCTATTAGTTATAGCAAACAATTACAGCTTTAGTCTGGGAAAGATTCTGTCCATGTAAGCAAATAAAGAATTAGACTCAATTGAATTTCACCGTGTCAGCTTTCGGCTTGGGCCTGGTACCATCTCATTCTGCCAAGTAATAAGGCCAGCCTATTCAAATTCTCTTAAGTGTTGGAAACCATCACATTGGATGCCACTTGGAATGAGTGGATGATTTTGGCCTTGGATAGGATTGTGCCTATGTGGACTCTTGTGGATCCAACAGGGGCCCACCTAAGAGATGGCTAAAATGTCACTGGAGAAAGACAAAGAGTGTACAGTACTAGCAATGGAGAAATGGACTGCTTAAAGAGCTTGCATACATGTCTAAATTGACTTGGAATAGGGAGCCAAAAATAACTACTTTTATAAAAGAGTGGAACTCCTTTATTTGCCAAAAATTGATAAAAATGACTTGTTATTTCTGGATTTATTGTTTAATAGGGTTTGAATACGAGAAGGCGGGAAACATGTTATGTAATTTTGAAGGAGAAAAGCATTTCATTTTTCTGGCCATTTTCTCTTCTGCAAAGAGCCTACCAGTGACTCTGTTTAGGATAACCTGGTCCCTCCTAGGAAACATTTGTTCGGCGTTGTATTATTCTAGAAATTTGTTGAATAAAGTTGTTTAGAGTCTTTCAGAGTTGGAATCTAGCTGTACAGGTCCTGTGGAGTTTCCTAAGGCACAGTCTTGCCCAGTTAGATGAGAGAAGTTGAAACCTGTTGGCCCTGATGAAGTAGACATCCTTGGAACCGTGTTTTTGGCCTCCTGTGTTTAATCTTTGCCCCCTCCTGACTCAGAGCTCCCCTGGGAAGTGGCAGGCAATGGAGAATGCTTCTTGTGAGCGGGGATGATTCCTCTTACTTCAAAATAGATGATTTCCACTTCCACCAAGGTGCGTCCATTATTGGGCCCAGTAGAACTTGACAAAATTAGATCTAGTCTCCAAACTTCCTATTCTGAAAACAGAGTTGGGAAGGTGATTGGCTTACAGTTCCAGAGAGTTCTGAGGGGGAAAAACATTATCTGGACCACTTCCGGTCAGGATCTAGGTCTTGCCATGACTAGAACAGCAATGACTGCATTTGCGATGATTTTTGACAGGCTTGCGATGGAGGTAATGCATCCATCCTGGCATTCCTTGATCTCTCAGTGACCACTATTGCTCATGGTATTTTTCTGGATTGGCTCAGGGGATTAGGAGTGGGAGGCACTGAATTACACTGCTTCTCCTTTCTCCGGGGCCGGTTCCAGTCAGAGATTCCTGCTAACTCCTTGGTTCTATTTACCATCTATGAAGCCATTGGGGGAATTTGTAAACTATCAACCCTAAATGTGATATCAGTACTCTGAGGGCACTCAATTTTACATCTCTACGCTAGGCTGACCAAGCGTTATTTCTCAGTATTTCTCATAGAAAAAGAGAATTGCTCCACAAACAGGTTGTTGCCTCAGTAGATCAGACTTTTTTCCCAACTGATCTGATATTTTTATTCTCGGATGGGCATCGACTTTCCATAGCCTCAAGCAGAGATATCCTTTAACTGGAAAGGCCATAGAGGTGCATAGAATGAGCACTAGAATAGATAGATGAATGGCTTTCTGTGACAAGATTCAGGGCTTAAAGCAGAAAAAAAATGGATGGTCAAGCTGATATGGCCTAAATCTTGATACAGTCCTCCATAGGGAAGCTATATAGCAATAGCAGTTAGACTTATATACCGCTTCATAGGGCTTTCAGCCCTCTCTAAGCGGTTTACAGAGTCAGCATATTGCCCCCAACAACAATCTGGGATCTCATTTTACCCACCTCGGAAGGATGGAAGGCTGAGTCAACCTTGAGCCTAGTGGGATTTGAACAGCCGAACTGCAGAACTGCAGTCAGCTGAAGTACGCTGCAGTGCTGCATTTAACCACTGCGCCACCTCGGCTCTCCTGCCTGCCT